AAAAAAAAAAAAAAAATTAGCCCGGTGTGGTAGTGCGCGCCTGTAGTTTCAGCTACTTGGAAGGCAGAGGCGGAAGGATCGCCGGAGCCCAGCAAGTCGACGCTGGGGTGGCCGTGAATGTGCCCCTGGACTCCAGCCTGGGCGACAGAGTGAGACGCCAACTCAAAAATAAAAATAAAAATAGAAAATAAAATAAAATTCTCTCTTAATCTCAGAATGTATAAGGTCAATAAACCCTTCAGAAATGGGTTCCGATACACATGACCCCTGTCACAAAATTAATTCTTTTTGTATTCTTACAGTATTCTATTTGAAATTTGAAAATAGAAAAAATATCTTCTTTTTTTTTTTTTTTCCTTTTTAAGCTTTTCAGATTTTGCATGATGGAAATGGTTAGTCTTTCAATTGTAAGCGAATATCTCAATAGCACATTCGTAACTTTTTAAAGAATTTTTTTTATGCTTTCAAGGTTGTTTCTTCATTTTCAAACTAGTTCTTCCCTTCTACCTTCCAGTGCCCCCACTTCCTCTGGTTGTTTGTGCTAATTATCCTCCATCCCTTGCCTCTTCACTCTTCTGTTTCTCCACTAGATCTTATTTGAAAAGCAAAAATGCTGAAACTTTCCCTATCCTTTTTTTTTTTAAGATATGAGGTTTCATTTTGTCACCCAAGCTAGATTACAGTGGTGAAATCATAGCTCTTTATAACCTTAAACTCCTGGACAAGTGACTCTCCTACCTTAGCTTCTTGAGTAGTTAGAACCACAGGCACACTCCACTATTTACAGCCAATTTAAAATATATATATATATATATTATATATTTTTGTTTGTTTGTTTGTTGTTGTTGTTTTTTTTTTTGAGAAACAGGATCTTGCTGTGTTGCCCAAGGTGGTCTTTAACTCCTAGCCTCAAGCAATCCTCCTGCCCCATTCTCCCAAGCATGAACCACCCTCCATGACCTTTTCCCTGTCCTTAAATACAGCCTTCTCATTCCCTCCTCCTCTACCAAAAAAAAAAAAAAAGGCTTTCTGCCCTTTTTACCCTATTATGTACTCAAAAGTCATTTGAATTCAGGTTCCATCACATGTAAATTGTATGTCCTGGGGAACATTTCCTAACTTCTCTATCTTGTTTTATTTATAAAATGAAACTAATAGCAGTGTCCTCTTCACAAGTTTGATGTAAGGAAAAAAACAATAACTGAATCACTATATGTAAAGCTTCTAGTACAGTGCCTGGAACACAAGAAATGCTCATTGATTTTCAGATGATTTTATTATCATCACTGAAAATGCTACCAAAATGATTTATTATCCTTGCCCTTATTGTCTCACCATTCCTTCTTTAACAACTGCTTTTAACCTTCATATTAAGTGCTTTCTCCTAATCATCAAATCCAGTGACTTTTGCTCAGTCCTTCCTTTCTCTTCTTCCCCATAGCATTGAGCTCCATCACAAATTAGATATATAAAGCCTCGAGATTTCCCTTGATTTCTCTCTCATCACTCCTTCTCTTCTCATTTGCCTTCCTTTTGTTCTCCCCTTTATTTATTTTTTCCCTCTGTCCTTTAAGTTTTGTTGTTCTCTGTTCTGTCTTTTGTCTTCTTCTTTTGTTCTCTTCTTTGGTAATTACAATCCTGCTTTTACTGTCACCTTCTTCCATAGACTTTCTTCTGAGTCCAACTTATTGGTAGATATTTGGAAATCCTTTAATACCTTAACTGTAGTATAACTACAACCAGTCTTTCTTTACCATCCAGGCCAGATCTTATTCTGGATTTTTCTATTTCTGTTAGTGGTAGAACCAGATTCAAAATCTCAGTCATCTTTTGACTCTTTTTCCTTTTCCTTTTACATCTTAAACAGTTGCTACATCCTATACATAGTACTCCCAGTATGATTTTCTTTTATACAGTCAAATGCAGACATTTACTAACTGTGACTGAATTGTTTCTGTCCAGATTAACTTTCCTTTAAATTTTCCTATAAGCTTATTATTCCTTTTTTTGAGGAAATCTTCATTACACATGATCCATATCTACCCCACTCCCACGTTGCCTACCAAGTAGGCTTCCACCTTGCCACTCAAGGCTATTCATGTTTGTATTTTGCTGTTTGTATATTCTTTTGCACATTTATGCACCATCCAAATTAATTTCCTATATACACATCTATGTCTTTGCTTATACTTTCATCTAGAAAGCATAAATATATTTTAATAAGATGTATATTAATACTAGGGTGTAAATAAATAGCATTTTTAAACATAGCTTTCCTGATATGAAATTTTAATTAAAATATTTTTCTATTGCATTTCTGAACTATTTTCTCATTATTTGAAAATACTAATTCAGCATTTTCCTCAAAAATCCAATTTAACTATTTCTTACAGTAACAAATTATTATCTTAATAAACAGATGACTTTGAAGTTACTTATAAGAATCCACGCTAAGTAGGTGCAGTGATAGGCACCTGTAATACCAGCTACTCGAAAGACTGAAGTGGGAGGATTGCATGAGCCCAGAAGTTTGAGACCAACCTCAAAAAAAAAAATCCAAACTGTTTATAAGAAACTAGAAGGATTCAGTCTGCCTTTCTAGTATAATTTCTCTAAATGTAATTACTGTCTGGAATGATATCTTTCAAATTTTTTTTCATAGATTATCAGAATTATTTTAAGATTGTACATATAAATCTAATATGAAATGAATATTGTTTTATTCTCTGAAGTAATGACATGTATCAAGCATATAATATTCATATGATCAAATTTTCTCCTAGTTAAATGCTGCAATTTTCTGCCTTGCATCTTATAATTGTATTTTATACAGGCTTTGTGTTTTGTATAAATTTATTTTATTCTCACTGAGAGTAACTCTGTGGGGATGGCATTTTTAATTTTTCCTCCTTTTTTCTTTATTCAGGGCTTTTTTCTTACAGTTTCTCCAGAGTCTGTATTAAAAGTGGCTCATCATGCTTCTGAAAACAACAGGATTTTTACTTTGAATCTGTCTGCACCATTTATTAGCCAGTTCTACAAGGAATCATTGATGAAAGTTATGCCTTATGTTGACATACTTTTTGGAAACGAGACGGTGAGTTCTGTTTCTTTTAAAAAGAACCTGTCTGAAATTTTTTTTGTTTCTGATCTGTGTATATGTTTAGAATCTATAAATAAAAACCTAAATTTTTGCATAAATATCCTTGAAAGTTGCACAACACAATTTCATTTATGTATAGTAAGATTCATCCTTTTTGGCCGGGTGCAGTAGCTCAGCCTGTAATCCCAGTGCTTTGGGGGGCTGAGGTGAGAAGACTGCCTGAGCCCAAGGGTTTGAGACCAGCCTGGGCAATTTGGTGATACCTTGTCTCTACAATAAATCACAAAATCTAGCAGAGTGTGGTGGTGTGCACCTGTAGTTCCCGCTACTTGGAAGGCTGAGGCGGAAGGCTCTCCTAAGTCCAGCAGGTCGAGGATGCGGTGACCATGAGTGTGCCACTGCACTCTAACCTGGGCGACAGGAGTGAGACTCCAGCTCAAAAAATAAAAGATTCACCCTTTTTACTGTACATTTCTATGGCTCTGCGGTAAGCCATAATCATGCCATTGCACTCAAGTCTGGGTGACAAACTGAGACCCCAGCTCCAAAAAAAAGTCTAAAGACATCCTATTGAATGGGGGATAATATTTCCAAATCATATATCTGATAAGGGATTCATATTCAGAATATATAACTCAATGACAGCAAGAAAACCAATGAGCCAATTCAATAATGATCAAAAGAAATAAACTTTTGTCTAAAAAAGATATACAAATGACCAATAAACACATGAAAAGATGCTCAGCATAATAATAGTAGAGAAGTGCAAATCAAAACCAAAATTAGATACCACTTCACACCATTAGAGTGGCCGTTTATCCAAAAAAAAGGAAAATAGCAAGTATTGGTGACAATGTGGAGAAATAGAAACCCTTGTGTATTAATGATTGGAATATAAAATGATACAGTTGCTATGGAAGGCAATTTGGTAGTTCCTCAAGAAGTTAGAATTATCACTATATGATCCTGTAATTCTACTTCTAGGTATATACCCTAGATAACTGAAAGCAAGGACTCAGACAGTCATACACCTTTGTTCATAGCAGCATTATTCACAATAGGCAGTAATAGAAACAAATCAAATGACCATAAACAGATAAATAAAATTTTATGGATATGTACAGTGTAATATCATTCAGCCTTAAATAAATAAAATGCTGATATATGCTACAACATGGATGACTCGTGAAAACATTATGTTAAGTAAAATAGGCCAGACACACCAAACAACCGCTGGACTTTCTTACACAAATTCCACTTATATGAGGAACCTAGAATAGGCTAACACATGAAGACACAGTAGAGTAGTAATTACCAGGAGCTGGGGTATGGGGTGGGGCCCAATAGGGCATTATTGTGTAATAGGTACAGAGCTTGTTTGGGATGATGAAAAAGTTCTGGGAATGGATAGTGGTGATAGCCGCACCACATAGTGAATGTACTTAGTGCCACTGAATCAAATATTTTAAATGGTTAACATAGTAAATTTTATTTTATGTATAGTTTAACCACAATTTTTTTTTATAGAAAGGTTGATTCTACAAACCAGTTAACTTAGTTTGATTAGAGCATAATGCAGGTTTTTTTCTTTTCTGCTTTTTGGGTTTTTTTCAGTCAGAGTCTCACTGTCGCCAAGGCTGGAATGCAGTGGCTTGCTCACGGCCACCGCAGCCTCAATCTCCTGGGCTCAGGTGATCCTTTCACCTCAACCTTCCAAGTAGCTGGAATTATAGGCACATACCACCATAGCCGAGTAATTTTTTATTTATTGTAGAGATGAAGTCTCACCTAGTTGCCCAGGCTGGTCTCAAACCCTGGACTCATACAATTCTCTCGCCTCAGCCTCCCAAGGAGCTGGGATTACAGGCTTGAGCCACTATGCCCAGCTAGAGCATAATATAGACTATTAAAAGAATTATTTTCCCCTACTTAGAAGAGGAATTGGTAAACTACAAGCTGCTACATGTCTATAAGTCATATCAAGAAAACTTTTCTCTTTTGGTGTGATTATTGTTCATTTGAATTTATTTCAACAGATATTTATGTAGTACCTATTACAGAAGACCAATAAGCAGTGAATACATAGTATATTTGAGAAGATCTATCATTATATGGATCATAGAATAATAAATATTGACTACAGGACAATTAGATATATTTGATATTTTATTGAACTAGTCTCAAAAGGACAACCCATAAATAAATAGATTTCTAGTGGTATGTCTCAGAGATTACCCTGGACTTTGCTCAAGTAGACTACTAGTGATTTAGATAAAACTATATTTGCATATTATACAAATACAAATAATGTAACACCTTAATTAATAGCAGGTAAGTTGAATGTCAAAATCAGATTTTTGAAAATGTTAGTGGACTGCAAATATCAGTTAAGTGATGAAATTTAATAGTAATAGTAAAAATTTACCATATTTGATTATAAAAATCAAGTAATTTATGTCTTTGATCACCCCATTGTTCTTCTCCTTGAATACTATAATAATAATAAATTATCTTCAGTTCCCCCAAAAAATATGGAGATTTTATTTCTAAAATGCTATGAAGAGTAAAGTAGATTTCTCAGGGAATATATGTAGGCATGTTTTATCTCCTCCTTCACCAAAAAGTAAAGCTACTGTGTTTAGTATAAATTTTCAAAATGTTAACATTTAGCTAAAACTAATCACACTTGATCCTTATTTTTTCCTGATGTCACCTTCCCTTTCTTAGAGGACTGTATACTAGTAATGATGATTTAAAACTTTTGTGATAGCCGGTCTCGGTGGCTCAGCCTGTAGTCCCGTGCCTTTGGGAGGCCGAGGTGAGTGGATTGCCTGAGCCCGCGGGTTCGAGACCCGCCCGGGTGGGCGAGACCTCATCTCTACAATAAATCAAAAAAATTAGCCGGGCGTGGTAGCACGCGCCTGTAATTCCGGCTACTCAGAAGGCTGAGGCGGAAGGATCGCCGGAGCCCAG